TAAAAAGTGTCCGCACTTGTAAGGCGCTAAAATCGTATACAGAGCGCCAAACTCCGCTTTAGTCTTCATTTGTTCGACTGACAGCGCGATACTGCGATGACATTACAATTTAAATTTCGAATAGGTTGACTTGGGACATTTTTTTCGTGGTTTTTGTATTAGACCCGTCGTCCATTTATTTGTAAGTCAATGGGTGCGGCTATCATCTTTGCACTCCAAAATAGCACAATAAGACATTTTTCTAGAATTTTAGAGAATTTGCACGAAAGAATGACACAACGTTACCATACAAAGCGAAAATGGCGACCTGAGCTCAGATAGGTCTTTAGAGACCCCTAGTTGGCATGTGTCGGGTGCTAACTAACCACTTCTACTGTTGTGACGGTGTGACCTCCTTACACCGTCATCTCACTTTGTATCGCCTCTCTCCGCGTGTATCCTATCATTTTTTTTATTTTACATGTATTTAAATTTGAAATTTGAATTGTTCCATCTTCCTTCACTTTCTCATTTTGTTTTCGTACCACGGTCACTCCCAGCTCGACCACACAACAGTCGGAGCTGTTAATAAGCTAATCATGTGTAACAATTTATAAGTCTACAGCCTTCATGTATCTATTTCTGTAATTCAGTTTCTCGGCCCATTTAGGGCCTTTCTTTAAACTTTACTTCTTTAATAAATTTTGTGGACCGGAAATTTCCCATTTCATTGTCGTGAACCTGTTCACGGCTAGTTAGGGTTACAACCCTTTCACTGTAGTTAATGTTCTGTGTTCTAGACCATAATTTCCAAAAGTGGTCCCTGCCGGCCCCCCGATGGGCGCTGAAGAGTCCTAGGGGCTTCGGAAGCAATTTCCCTAATTGCGTTGATTCTGTCCGCATTTCAAAAAAAATCTGAATTATCTATAGTTTGGGAATTGAAACGGCGAGTCGATACTTTTCATCATATTAAAATTACTACTCTTCTTAAATGTTAAGTATTTTTTTCGTGTTGTTTGTTTCTTTAATATACGTATTCTCCTTCATAACATTCGGTTTCTTACGGCCTTAGGCGTTAGTAACTTTCACAAAGGGGTAATGCCGTCGATATTAATATAATTTTTGTCTTGCAAAAACATGCGGTTAGGGCAATTTACAATCTGAGTATCTGAGAGAGGAGCTTAACATCGAAACTACCTAGAGATGCTGATTTTTATGAAGATATCGAAGGTATAATAGGTAAAATAACTAATATTAATTGCTATTTTGGTAACTACACTGGCAAACCATAGAGTTTTTGAATGTCTAGATCTGTCATGTTAAATTTCTTTTTTATTCCCTGACATTGGCGATATTCGTTATAATTTTTTTATTATTCTTATAAAACTGCCAATGGCACAAGGCTAGTGGCCGCCATGATGGAAATAATAATAATATGTTTACTGGTAATTATGATGTATACTTACTTGGTGATGAAATTGAGACTAAGCTGATCGAGATCTGGTTCTTTCTCCCCTTGCACCTGTTCGTACGCCACCCCCACTATCTTCTTTACATTTGAACCTGTCACGTGAGATAAGAAACTTATATTAGCAGCATAGTTTTTTATACAGTGACGGGACGAACTGATCGTGTCCTTGGTGGTAAGGGAGTCGCCTGTCTATGACAGTTGCAGTGGCACTCAGTGTTTTAAATTGCAATTATCTCAGAGGCACTGCCACTGGGGCCGTCAGCCTGACACAGGGCTCATTCAGAGTGCAGGCGCGGGCGCGGCGGCGGGTGCGGGCGCGCGGGTCTTGGCGTCTTCCCTTTTCTCAGTGCCGAAGCGACTACAAGCGGGTAGATCCACACGTCGAAATCGCAAACAGACGCTAGACACTATACCAAGCGCTGTCAAAGGTACGGGCGCCCCAACCCAATTGATCTATTGTGAACAAGTCCCATGTGCCAGAAGCCTTATCTTTCAAAATCTGCTCACATTACAGCGTGACTTGAAATAGGTAAGGTAACGTTAGGCATATAATATGTGAATATGAGTTGTTTAAGAGTACCGTAGTCTGTAGGGCGTGGGTTGTATCTTATAAGGCTCAATTTAGAACGGAATGAACTGAATAATGAACTTTATCTTAATACAGTAAGGTATAAATTAGATACGAATAAAAAACAGGTCTGGTAATTCCCACAGCTACTGTATAGTATCTAGTTTGAACGTTACACAATTGACGAACTTTATTCATTATGTCATGATCACAAAAATTCGCATCCACGAAAAGAGTGCAAGAAAAGCCCCGGGGGCTGTCCCATTTCTGGTATCTTTGGAAAGTTTTACTCTACGTCATAGGTTCCCAAATTTGTTTAGCTCACCGACTACTTAGGCAACATAAAAAAAAATTAAATAACTATGCTCTACGTCAAAAACAATAGTGTCTTACGTTGCATGGTGGCTACTAGCCGAATGTCTTTAAAATTAGTAGTAGCATAGAAATTAAGAGAAGTATGGTAAGTCCGTTAAAAAAAAAGAGCGAAGCTTATGTGTGTGCGACCGGCGCGCCCCGTGTACAGACGCACACATTCTTCACTAACTTCAGTTAACTTACATTGACTAGATCCTATGTAAACAGCAGCTTCTTCCACAGGTTGTTTTATATCCGCTACCTCTTTCTGAATTCCCTTGCCGACGTCCTCAAAAAAATTCTGCGGACCCTTCAGGACGATTTCAATCGGGTTTTCTGCTGTTTCATTGTATCCCGAGTTTGCCAGAGCTGTGGAGAGCAGACAGGAGACTAGAAGTGGAAGGAGGTACGACATGGTACGCTGGAAAAGAATTTTGAACGGTTTATTTAGTAAACAAAACAAATTTATCAACAATTAATTACATAAATACTAATTTAAACTATGAGATTGGCCTTGGTGATCATATAAGGAAATTGTATGCCCGGGTGCACACACTGTGGAGAGGATTCGTTCTTTAAAATGGCGAGATAATACACTGAGCAAGCCCTTAGGTATCCATAATAAACACGGAAAAACAATAAATCAGTAATAAAAAAATAATTAAATGAACGCATTCAATTATTAATGTAATTCAGACACGATATAGCGATGTCGCTTGTTTGCATCCAGCCGGATTTAAGGAATTTTTCTTTGTGCATGGAGCACACATTTGTTGCAACGCCACAGCACATAGATACAAACAAGAGTTACCAATACTTAGATAAACAAAGCAAAATAGAAAGAATTAAAAACCAAAATAAAAAAACTACAAAAACAAGAAAAAAAACAGAATAAAGTGAAGCAAAACAAGCAAAAAGAAATTAACAAAATATAACCAGTACACATTTGTACTGTCATTTGTGGGGTTGTGGCATACCCGAAAGGACCTTCAGCTTATGCCACAGCCAAAACCGGACTGTGGTGCTAGGTTTCCATGAGACTTTTAGCATCGATGCAGTAGCTAATAATCTACCTTTATATCGCGCATTTGTATCAATGCAATCGCGCGTTTGTGTCGATGAAGTCGCGAGTTTGTGTCGATGCAGTCGCGCGTAACGACTCTAATATAACAAACTAGTGGAGTAATTTCACAAAAACTATTGAATATTATGGTAGTAAAACATTGCGATATTCAATAAACTTAACAATAATATAGAAATGGATAGAACAAACATAAAGAAAGATTCCTTCGGTCCGAATGGACCAGCGTCTGTCACTTCGACGTGGCTACAAATTTGAGTCCACACGGATTCAAGGAATTTTTCTTTATCTTTTTTCTTACATTGTATCAATAATAATAATAACAAACTAGTGGAGTATTATCACAAACAAGAAATGAATATCATGATAGTAAAAACATCAAGATATTCAAATAAAAGGGTAATTTTCAGGTTAGTTTTCTCTAATTTCGGTGGCAATTTTTAATATTTAACTATACGAGTATATTTTCGTGATATATTAATTGAATACTCTAAAATATTATATTTAGGATAATGTTTTAGGGTATTCGATTAATAAAAAAATGCCACCAAAATTAGGTAGTTAATTTAAATTTTCTAAACTGAAAATTACCCATAAATGAATTTTCAAATTATGAAACTATATTCACATTTGTCTATTTAATCAGCTAATTTTTAAAGATCTATTCTTCCCATTACACGATGATACTGAACCTCAGAGACGTGTTATTGTTATATTATGTATATTATTGTGGTTTAAATAATAACAACTACAAATAACTGTACAATTGTTATATGGAACTAACGAGTAATCTGATGACGGTGTCAGAAAGTACTGCGTAAAATCACATCAATAATTATTTTTCCTTATTAATGTTATTAAAATCTAATCTCGTTTTTCTAATTATTTAAAGTTATTTTCCAATTAATTGATTAACTTGCTTGATTACTTTCACGTAACCAAAACTTAAGTTACAGGCTGTTGATTTTTATATTCGAGACAGTACTGTAATTATTTATTAGAAATACGTAAAGTTATTTCGACGTCTGAATAAGGATAATAATGGAAATCGTTTATCCTATCGTACATCATGTAGTATAAAAAAAAAAAAACTTCCAGTAAAAGGAAAGCTCTGAGTCGTGGGTGCCTTGGACACACACAAACTACGGCCACACTCACGAGAGAAATCAATATAGAAATATAATACCTCTGCGTGCCAAACCAACAAATGAAATAAATAAAAACGTAGAAACAGCAAAGCTCAAACTACGTTAGACCAATGCTATGAATTTCCTGATCTCCAAAACCCAATTACATGACAAATAGAAACTAGTTTTTTATCGAAAAAGACACGGACACAGGGGTGACAAAATATTTTTTTTTATTTGTTTTATATTATTTACACGTATTCTTCTCAAAAATAGAACTATAATGCCAGAAGTTTATTAACAATTATAATAGGTAAGACGGTTATAACATGGTATTTTGTGGAATTATTTGTAATGATAACATTCTAGTTTTGTATGTTACAAGAATTTTTCAAGACGGATTTTATCAAACGATTGTACTTTAAAATGCCATTTGCAATTTGTAGTGTCAGTTTTTTTAATAATAAGAAAAACGGACCTCAAAAGTTTGCATATATGTATGTTTCGCTGTGCTGCGTTATATTCATTTTGCATTGCATTCATTCACTAATTTGCCACCCTTAGAGCGTTAATTAATACAAATTGGTTTAATATTTTTTCTAATTTCAATGAAACCACTACACTGAGGTACCCTCTTTCTAACAAAAAAATAATCATCGAAATCGGTTGAAAATAAAAGAAGAAATAAAAGTTAAAATATTACAATACAAAACGAAATTGTATACACGAGTAGGTGTGTCTTTGTGTTCACATTTGTGTGATGTGTGTGCGCGTGCGTGTGTGATTTCATGTGTGTGATTTTATGATGTCAACAACAAGTCGTGGGCTCGGTGGTAAGCTATCCGTGCGGTGACGGATTAGAATACAATTCACCGCCCCTCTCTTCCCGTGGGTGTCGTAAGAGGCGACTAAGGGATATTGAGCAACCAGCTGCTCCACTGGTGGTAGGGCTTGAAAACCCGCCTGGTTAGTGACCACCGTGCGCATGATGGAAAACCCGCCAAGTATTCGCTAGTCGGATGCGTTCCGGGATCAGTCAGCGTACAACCAGAGCCCGAGGGAACGCTGCCGCGACATTTGTGGTCTGTGGAGGCTTCCGCCGAACCAGTGCCAGGACAACTGCATTGACCTGCCGGCCAGGGAGACCCGTAGAAACGGTTGTTCCGCTGGCCGCCCGCGGTACAGTACAGGGGCCCAAGCGTGCTTAACCAGCTCGTGAGGCTGCCTCACCATGCCGCGCATAATCTCGGTGTGGTTCGTCGTGCCGGTTGGTGACCGGGAGGTGGGGTCCCGGCGGCCATTCCCGGGAGGGTTCGGGGGCCCTTCCGTCCGGCGGATCAGCGCAACTTGTCTGTAGGCAAGTCTCTGGGGAAGCAGGCCCCGCGATTTGACCGCTTGTGTCGCGGCACTGTTTTCTCGCTTCACGCCTCTTTTTCCCTCCAACATGTTAGCGCAAAGTACAAATTTCGGTCGTACAGCGGTGCACACCCCCACCACTAAAGCGCTCTTTAAGGTGGAGTTCACGAACATTCGAGGACTCCACAGTAACATCCACGCCGTCCATCAACATCTTGAGACGGCTCGACCAGAAATGCTGTTCCTTACGGAGACGCAAATACTCTGCCCGGCTGACAGCAGCTACTTGAATTACCCTGGCTATATGCTTGAAGAGTCCTTCAAAGTGAAAGCTGGGGTCTGCTTGTTTGTCCGGGCAGATGTTTGCTGTCGCCGTCTGCGTCATTTGGAGGACCCCTCCTTCTCCATCCTTGGGGTACATGTTGACCTGGGCAGTCATTGCCGTGTCTACATGTGCCTCTACAGATCCCACCACGGCGACATAGAGACAACTCGTCTCATGGACCACCTTACTCGGGCGGCAGATGACGCGCAGGCGCAGTTTCCTACAGCGGAATTGGTGTTTTTAGGGGACTTCAATGCTCACCACGAGTCGTGGTTAAGTTCCTCTAAAACTGACCATGCTGGAAGAACTGCCCACACATTCGCTCTCACACACGATTTAACCCAACTGGTGAATCAGCCCACCCGGATTCCAGATAGGGTTGGTGACGCGCCTTCTTTGTTGGACCTTCTGCTGACGTCTCGCCCGGCTGGATATCGGGTGGTGGTCCAAGCCCCTCTGGGCACTTCGGATCACTGCTTGATATCCACTAAAGTGGCAACGTTACTGCCACCACCACCTACTGTGGCTAAACGCCGCATTTGGCATTATGCGTCGGCAGATTGGGACGGTATGCGGGACTATTTTGCATCCGTTCCCTGGCGGCAGCGCTGTTTTAGTGAGGTGGATCCAACAGCTAGCGCGACTGCCGTTGCTGATGAGATCTTAATCGGGATGGAATACTACATCCCGCATTCGGATCTCGTCAGTAAAGGGAGGCGCAACCGCTGGTTCAACCGCGAGTGTGCTGTGGCTGTTGAGAACAAACAGACTGCATACCGCGCTTGGATCAGGGGTCTAGCTTCAGACGATCCCAATACGAACTCACTTAAAACAGCCTACAATAATGCCACCAGGTCTTGCAAAAGAGCGTACATCAGAGCGGATGCTCAGCGCGTCGCACGAGTTGGCCAAGAACTCTTGACGCATCCCACAGGTAGTCGTAGCTACTGGCGTCTGGCCAGAGCCGTTGCGTCGAACTTCTGCCAGCCCTCGCTGCCACCGCTGAGATATTCTGACGGCAATCTAGCCCACAAGCCGCAAGATAAAGCCGACCTCTTGGCAAATCTGTTTGCGGCTAACTCCTGTCTCGACGACTGTAACGCACAGCCACCAACTCTACCTCACTGTGGCTACACGATGTCTGATATTCGTATCAGACAATGCGATGTGCGTACGCAGCTGCAGTCTCTCGACGTCCGGAAAGCTAGTGGTCTTGATGGTATCCCAGCGATTGTACTTAGGAATTGCGCAGCTGAGTTGACTCCCGTGCTAACGCGACTGTATCGTCTGTCGCTCTCTTCAGGTCGTGTGCCGGACTCTTGGAGAGAGGCTAATGTGCAACCAGTTCCCAAAAAAGGCGACCGATCAGACCCGCATAATTACCGTCCCATAGCCATTACTTCCATAATATGCAAGGTTTTAGAGCGGATCCTTAATAAACGACTGACCCAATACCTAGAAGATCACTCCATAATTAATGATCGGCAGTATGGGTTTCGTCCGAAACGATCAACGGGTGACCTTCTAGCGTACTTATCGCATATTTGGGGTGAGGCTATAGACAAACGTGGCGAATCGTTGGCTGTTAGCCTCGATATAGCCAAAGCGTTCGATCGGGTCTGGCACAAAGCTCTTCTCTCCAAGCTCCCGGCGTACGGTTTGCCAGCCCAGTTATGCAGCTGGATTGCCGATTTCCTTCGTGAGCGGAGAATTCGCCTCGTTTCTGACGGCAACATTTCGAGGTTCGTGAATGTGAACGCCGGCGTACCGCAGGGATCCGTCCTATCTCCCACGCTTTTCCTTCTGCATATCAATGATATGCTTCCACTTGGGAATATTCATTGTTATGCAGATGATAGCACTGTTCATGGGGGATATCATGGGTTCCCCGCAGCTGGGCGCGCCGATACTGACAGAGAGCGATCTGATCTTGTCGTTGAGCTCAATAGGATATTGGACCTCATATCTGCATGGGGATCCAGTAATCTTGTTGAGTTCAACGCCAAGAAAACACAGGTTTGCGCGTTAACAACAAAATTGTCGCCGTTCCTTCCCATGCCTTCTCTGATGAGCACAGCACTTTCACTTCAGAGCAGTTTCACCTTGCTCGGTATGGAAATCTGCTGTGATTTGAATCCAAGGAGCTACATCGAATCTGTGATCAAAACAGCCTCACGGAAACTCGGAGTCCTGAACAAGGTGCGACGTTTTTTCACGCCGGACCAGTTATGCCTGCTGTACAAAACACAGGTCCGGTCTTGCGTTGAGTATTGTTCGCACTTGTGGGACGGCTCCGCTAAGTACCTACTCGATGCCTTGGATAAATTACAGCGTCGTGCTACTAGAATTATAGGCGACGAAGAGGTCTCATCACGCCTTGAACCTCTGCAACTGCGTAGAGATGTTGCATCGCTTAGCGCCTTTTACCGCATGTACCATGGTGAGTGCTCTGAGGAGCTGTTCAACCTCATCCCCCCTTCCCCGTTCCTGCTCAGAAGCACGCGTGCTGGCCTTCGTAGTCACCGTTTCACTACCTGCCGCATTCCATCGCGTACTAAAAGGTTCGGTGGCTCCTTTCTCTGCCGCACGGTTGACAAATGGAACTCTCTTCCGGCACATGTCTTCCCTCCCTCTTATGATATGGGGTCCTTCAAACGAGGCGTGAAGAGGCATATTGTAGGCAGGCAGGGTGGAGGCGGCTAGTGCAGTGAGGATTCCATCGCTGCACTAGGTTCCTTCGCGTTTGGATACCACTTTCCACTTAACATCAGGTGGAGTGGAGTCATTTGCCTGTCAGGTATAAAAAAAAAAAAAAAAAGCGACACGCCTACAGTTGCAGTGCCACTCAGAGCTTTAAATCGCAAAGATCTTAGGGGCATTGGCACTGCGCCCGTCACCCTAAGACATAAAGATGACAAATCCCATGTGCCGGTAATTTCAC